CCTGTGCTTTATCCTGATCCAGTGAGTAAGGAAGAGAAAAATTAGTATCCCACACAGCCAATTATGCATGCTGTGTGAAGTGGCCTTCTTAATAGCATCGTTCTTAAATAGTCTCATTTCTGGGTATTTTGATGAGCAGGGATAAGGAAAGGCAGAGTTCTTGCCTGAAGGTACAAATAACTTTTCTGGGGACATTTTAAAGCCATATTTATACAGGCTGTTGAAGAAGAGAGCAGGGGTTTTGTGGGGCTCACACACTTGTGTTGATTTGCTTGTTAAAGTTATTAAATGACTTGATTGGAGATATATTCAAATTAGCAAAAATGAGAACCTCTCTCCCCACCTGGACATTTATGTGAGGGCTCCTTGCTTGATATTATTGTATCAGTGATCTTGGAAACAGAGATGTATTTCTTTAGATTGGTCAGAGTTATTTGTGCTTTTCATTGCCCTGTGCTGTTAAAAGACAGTGGCCATCACTGAATTCACAAAGCAGTCTGCTAGTAAAGAGTCTGTTGTCTTTCATTTGGATATGAAGAATTGTGAATTCTCTTATACTTTTCATGTGGCCTTAGTAAATAACATCATTTCATATTATTTGACAACAGCTGTTTTTTTATTGTACCCCAAAATTTTTTCATATTAATCACGAGATTGTTAAAATGTCCATTTTAAAATCTGAGAATATTGCATAATTCTATAAAAATAGGAGAAGGACACATGAAATTTGGCTTAGACATTTAAGTAAGAATAATTCATTTATCTTCCTGATAGAATTCTATAGAACAAAGAAGCTGAGTTTTTTGCTCTGTTGCTCTTTTAGTCCATATGCTTTCTTTTTGGTTAAATTCAGTATTAGTTTGCTGCAACTGTATAATAAAAACAAAGTGTGCGCATTAAGGTCAAGAATGGAACTTACCTGGGAGGGATGGCTGGTCAATTGGAAGACAGCACAAAGATTCAACATTAATTGAAGGTAGTATCCAGAAATTCAGAATTAAATTAAGTGGATAAAAGTTGTGTGTAGTCAAAGCCAGGTCGAGGTGTTTCTAGAATTGTGGTCAGTAGAAGTTAATTATCCTGGATTTGGTGTAGCTGTGAAACTGGAAGTTGTGCCCAGCCCCCCCCCACCCCCCCACCCCCGGGCATCTGAAGACTGGGCTTGACCGTATCATCTCAGCTGTGTTTGGTCACTGCTCCAAGGGCTTAAGTTTCTTGTGGAATGAGGATAAAGACACATATCTCACAGATTTTTTGAGAGGATAAAATGAGAATGTATTTCAAAGTGCTTGGCGGAGTATAAATGGTTGAACAAATTTCTTTGTTTCCTTTACACGAGAGGGGATATTTAGGAGATGGAGACCATTATATCCCCTGTCTGTATGAAGGTCCTTCAAAAAGTTTATGGAAAGATTATCTTTTAATTCTAATTTTCCGCAAACTTTTTGAGGTACCTTCATATTGGAGACTAGTCTCAAAGCGTGTGTATGTGCATGTATTGTGTGAACACATGTGTGCATTCTGTATTTATTAGTACTTTGGGGAGAGTTAGCAGCCCTGGATTCTGATTTGGGCTCTATCATTTTTAGCCAGGTGGCACCTGTTTCTTCATCCTGATTCCACCAGAGGAGTGTCGTGAGAGTGAGTTACTGAATGGAAAGCATTTTGTAAGCTAGATGGTGCAACATTTATAGAGAAAAGGAAAGAGGAGGAAACAAGGTGCCCTCCATTCCCTTGCCTTCCTTGTCCTCCTCCTTATTAGTCTTCCCCTCTTTCCTTTTGGTTTTTGTCCTAGTCAGAGGTCCAGCAGGAAACATATGACACATTCCAACTGGGAGACTGAAGAGAGTTCTATTTTTATTTTTTATTTTTTTTTTGAGTGAAACAATAAATGCCTTTATTGTTTAAGCCACTATTAGATTCAGCCAATAATAACAATAATTCTAGGTACAATGATAACTTTGGTGGTAAACATGGTACAGGTCTCAAAATTTGAATGAACAAGTGGGAGGAATAGATGGGGGTGACATGTTTGCATGTTCGAGGGGGAGATAACTAAGTTTTCTCAGGTGCAGTCATTGATCCCTTCCTGCGCTCTACTGCAGTGTCCTCTCGTCTCCCTGCCCTCATCCACTTCCTTCCTCCACCTTACCTCATCTCTGAGCAAGCTCACCTCTCTTCTAAAAGTGGAGTATGCCCTCTCATGTAGAGGAGAGTTTTATAAAGGGACTGTTTACAAAGGTGTGGACCAGGTATAGGGAGCCAGTAAGGGCTTGTGCAGTAACCAAGGACAAGCAATAGCCTGGCAATACAAAGGAGCAGTTATTGGAACTCAGAGAGGGCAGGTGTACAGAGAGGGCACCCTACAGGCACTGTATGGTCTTTTGAAGGAGACATAGAACATTGGTGTTGCCCTTGCAGGGAGGGAGCTGGAGGAATAAATGCCCCTTCCTCTTTCTCCTTTCCTCTGGTCTGCTCCTGTTTCCCATTGACTAAACCCAAGTAGAAGACAGAGGACAGAGAGCTGTTGGTGAAATCCATACCGATCAGCCTCCTGTAGAGAAGAAAGGGGAAAAGGGTTCCTGGGTATGTAGGAAAATATCTTACTTTAGTAGAGTTGATTTTTAAGTTTTTTTCTTTCCTTTTAATTTCTCCCCATTCGTTCATTGGTCATGTATTCTGCCCCTACCTGGAGTCTGCAATGGTGCAATGTCCAGCATGTGGAAAGTGCCCAGGGGCTTGGTGACTAGATCCAAAGAGGTGCCAAGTCTTGGCTGCTCTTGCCTAACATGATTGAAATGAAACACAAGCCAATGTAGTTTATACATCATCTGCTACTTTCTTGTTTATTTTTATTTTTTATTTTTTGGGGGTGAGTATATAAAAATTTCTCAGATGACCCGAAGAAAGAGGAATCTGCCTGAGTCTTTTTTTTTCTTCTCATACCATTAACCTCAGAAATCAAGATCTCTTCTGTTTTTGTTGTGGAAAGAACTGGCAGAGACTCTGACTTGATGAGTATGCCTACAGTTGGGCCCTCTGGGAAAGCCTTTGGCTCCGCGATGGTGCTAATAAACAAGGGAACACTCTGGGTTTTTTTCCTTACACTTTATTGCTTGGGACAGTAAAGCTTCTAGTTTCTTTCTATAAATTGTTGAATGATAACAAGAAACCATTTTGTAGCTTTATTTCTACTATAAGTGCTACTTTTTAGATACTTTATGTGTTTCTCAAGTGCAGAAGTATCCCCCCTAATCCACAGTTTAAGCTTTCCATGATTCCAGTTACCAGTAGTCAGCCCTGGTCCGAAAATATTAAATGGAAAATTCCAGAAATAAACAATTCATAAGTTTTAATTGCATGTCACTCTGAGTAGCATGATAAAATCTCACTCCATAGGAAAAATCATAGTATAAATAGGATTTAGTACTATCTGTGGTTTCAAGCACCCACTGGGGGTCTTGGAACAGATCTCCCTCCGATAAGGGGGGGGGGGCTACTGAATTCATGATTGGAATTACAGAATATTCATTTTAAACTGTTTGGATTAATCCTATTAAAATGGGCTGATAGCATTCACATTGCCGTGTTACATTTGTATCTCAAGGAATTCCAGATCACTTTATTGAAAATAAGAGGAAAATTGTAAAGGAATCAGCTACTGCAGGTCTCTGGGGCCAGAAGTCATCTTTCATTGGAACCGCATGAGGGTTCTGTGTTTACCGAGACATCTGTAGTAATTTAAGAGTGCTTCTATGCAAATTGTAACTCTTAATTGAAATTGTGATTGTTCATGAAGATGGTAATGAAATTCAAACATCAGAAAAAGAAAATGAAATTAGGACAGATGTTATATTTCTACTTTTTTAATTCTCCCTTTCTTACTTTCTTTTTTACCCCCTCAGCCTTGTAGTGATTATATGGCATTCAGGACCCAGGTCATAAGGTCATCCCATGTTTCATTCTATTTTTCCATACTTAATATTATTTCTTTCATGTTGTTGAGGGAAGGCAAGGACATTTATTGGTTTGGAAATTGCAAGGAAATTTGAAAGAGAGTGAGAAATAGGGAATGAGAAAGAATGTATGAAGAAAGCCACTTACATTTAGAAAAATGAAGTTTTTAGGTTCATTTTTAGATTTGTTATAGAAGAACTATGTTGTCATTCAGGGAATGATCTCATCTTTCTGTCTTTCCTTCTTCCCATGGACATTTATAGCTCTGTTAGGGATTACCTTCAGGCTTATGGTAACAGAAAAGGAATGTCAAAGACGGGAAAAATAGAACAGCACAGAAGAAAAAAATCCAAGGACAATAAATGTTTGTATCATGTTGTTAGTCAAGAATGGACAGAGGGAAGAGCCTCTGTGGCTTTCCTGAGTTAGGTGATTCCTTGGAATAACTTAGTCAACCAAAGCCCCCAGAAATAAATATAGCAGATACTTGCTGTCCAGAAAAATGACTCTTATTCTTGTCTTACTAGGATACAATGCTCCCCATTTACCTCGTTATAAAATTAGAAAAAAATGTCTAGAAATTTTCAGGCCTTTCTTTCTTATCTCTCTCTGAATAGGATTTGCGTAAGTGCATTGTTATTTCCAGATCCAAATCCTGGCTAAACCCAGCGTCCTGGAAGTGTTTCAAATATTCTCCAGGGAAGAGAGCTTTATCAAGTTTTTATTATATTCGAAAGATTCAGTTGTCATTGTTTCTTACAAGATACATGGTTATAAATCACTATCAAAATTCCATGCTGAGTGGCTTCCAAAGAGGTGACAAGTTTTTGTTCTGTTTTATTTTTGAGCTCATCTGCCTTTGGAATGGCCCCTGGTTCCTCTAATTTTGCTAAGTGTTCACCATAGGTGGTGTTTCCACTTCTAGTGATGCTCCTCTCAGCAGGCCATTTAGGGATGTCAGGTCCAAGCCACTGTCTGCTGTAGTCAACTGGGAGACTGAGAAGGTGTTGTGGTCTGATGAGCTGCTGTTGTCCATCTTTCAGGGACAGGAGAGAGTGGCAAGAGTACGTTTATCAAGCAGATGAGAATCATCCACGGGTCGGGATACTCTGATGAAGACAAAAGGGGCTTCACCAAGCTGGTGTATCAGAACATCTTCACGGCCATGCAGGCCATGATCAGAGCCATGGACACACTCAAGATCCCATACAAGTATGAGCACAATAAGGTACGTGAAACTCTTCACTGGAACAGTTGGCAGAGCTGTGGACAATAATACAGCAGTAAAAAAGGTCTCTGAGCATGTCTGGAATGCATAGTGGGTTTTTGGAATATACCTTTTGCATCTTGTTCTAGATGGGACTTTTAAACCTTTAAAGTTACACTATAAAAAACTGGAAATGGATTCTCAGTGATATCAGTGGAAGACATATTTGGATTTGGAGATTTAAAATTGAGGGGAGCACATTACATTGAAGAGTTGGTTTGTAGGTACCATACAATTCGGCCAAAGTGAAGGAATTCAAAGAGGTGGTGGCCTTGCTTCAACTGCCCAGTCTTTGTGTTTCATTGAAAAAAGAACAAAAACAGCTTCAGACCGTTCTACCTGGTTTAATTTTGAATTTCATGACTTCCTTTCAGTAGTACCACAGGCTTCATTTTATTTCAAAATAGGCCCATCTGTCACTTCCAGTAACCTTTCCAACATGTTTCCCTGCAATTGTGTTTAAAGTTATGGAAACATCTAAAATGACTTGCAAAAGGATTAGGGGGAAAATATCTAAATGTTCAGCTTTTTAGAAAGCAAGCAAACTCTTCTGATAATCCAGAATTATCTCTTAGTTGAAATAGAATACCGTTCCCCGCCCCAGGTAAAAAGAAATGCTATAATTGCTCACCCTCTAAATATCATGGAGATGTGACACCAAACAAGATTGGTGCAACTGAGGGTTGCTCTGTGTTTAGGTTTATGCTGCAGTTGCCTTACAGAAAGCTTGTGGACAGGGACCGGAACTGCCCCTGGGGTGTGATGGCCTGTACAGAGGCTCCCAGCCTGAGGGGAGGGAAATCTATTTGGAATTTGCTGAAATGTCTTTATAGTCTTGCTTTCTTCCCGTCCCGTTAAACAGTACATCCCCAGATGGATGTGGTATTTGCTTCTTAGAGCTTGTAGGTACCCATCTTATAGTAAGCTGATCTTATAGTAAACCTCACATTTTGTTGATAAAACAGTGCATTTTTAGTTATTTTAGAACCTCCAGTAAGACCTTTCATTCTCTCAGTTCTCTTGATAAATCTGCTGTGAAGAATACTTCCATTTACCAGGATCAGTAGGTAATAGCAAGAAGCTGGTATGCTCAGTGTGACTCAAAAACTGAGATTTAGCTCACAGAAATGAGTCCGTAGGTAAGATAAGGCAGTTTTGTGTACCTTCACCTCTGTTACCATCCAAAGGCTTCTAAGTATAACAAGTCATCTTAAAATCAGGGATTTTTTTTCTTGGATGGTTCCTTGAAGTGGTGATTTCTTATCTAGTTGATACTGCCACACTTAGTTTTCCACCAGGAGTGAGAGTCTTTCCACAAATAACTTGAGAGAACCTCCACAAATAATCCTTCTTGCTTTTACTTTCAAGAGTGAAAAAAAGTTGGGCAGGTTTGTGAGCCCAGGAACATGGTACGTGAACCAGATTGAGCTGCGTGGCTATACCTCAGGTGCCTAAATTTTAAAGAATAGAGGTTTGTTTTGTTTTGTTTTGCCCCTAAGAAATCTCAGTGTAATGAGTTTCTGAAACAGGTGGCATGCTTGTTTGCTTGTTGTTGTGAGAAAATTCTGTTGAAGGGGTTTTTGTTTAATGCCAGTGACTTTTCCATTCTATGAATTCATGATCTGATGAATTCTGGCTGAGTCAATGTGTTTGTGCTATATATATATATATAAATTTTTTTGTACACACACTCATTCTGACAATTTAAACATTATAATTAATATAATGTAATCTACCTAAGTTTTACTAAAAAATCTTCTTTCTTAGATGCTCTGGAGAATCCTTCAGGATCTTGCCCTGATGTTGAATTTGCATATGAAGATTATTTATTATATAGTCATGTAGATGTAAAAGATGGAACGGAATTTATGCCTCATTCACATAACACATTGAAGAATATTTAACACTGTGTTATTTGAACTCTTTATGTCAGTTCTAATTAAGTAGACATCATTGTGTTGAATACTGTTCAATTATAAATTGATATCATAAAAATGTTATAATAATAGGGTTTTTCTCAGATACCGTAATTATCCTGTGAAATCTTCCATATCTTTTGGTTACTTAACAGACTGCCTAATATTGTGACATTAGTTTGTGTGATGACCTCTGAATTCCTCATCTCTTTAATTGCTTTAGTTCATAATATAAATCACTTTCATATTTCTTTCATTTTCTCTACATCATATGCATGTTCTAAAGCACCACTGTCCCCTTGCTATATCCATTAGCTTCCTGAGCTATGCCCGCTGCTTGCCTTTGTTAATGGAAATAATGTCTTCTCCCGTCTGCTCAACTGGACTGCCACTTCCTCCAGGAGGTCTTCTTCCCCCTCCCCTCACCTCAGTACTAAGTAATCCCACCCTCCTTTAACATAACCCATAGTGGAGTATTTATAATTGTCTAGCTTGGATTAATGATGCTGATTTTGGTATTGACCTTTATTTTCCCGATTAGATTCTAAGCTCCTTGAAAGTAAATCTCATGTCAGTTTCATCTTCATATTCTTCATTGTCCCTGGAGTTGTATCTTGTACATAATAGGTGCTGAAACAATTGGTTAATCATTTGTGAGCTTAAACAACTGAAAGTCTCCATTTCTGCCTCCAAAGATATTAAATGATCATTCAAATCAACAAATAGCCGTTGAAATTTCTCTCTGTACATAGGGAATAAATGCTATGTGCTGTCAGGGATGCGGAGAAGTTTAATCATGGCTGAGCAGAAATGTACAATCCAGAAAGGGGGAAGGATGTACCATAGGGAAAGGCACTTTCAGGAGAAGGAATGGCTAGAGTAAATGTTCAGAAGAAGGAATACATTTGCATGCAGTGTAGAAATTGGCATCTGGCTGGTATAGGGATTGAACTCTGGACCTTGGTGTTTTGAGCAGAATTCTTACAGAGGAGGATTGGAAAATGATTTAGGATGTGCTCATGAAAGGTTTTGAATCCAGGCTAAGTTTGAACTTTATTTTCTCATGTTTATGATCTTTAATAATAATATTTTATGTTTTGGTTAGCATTTTCTACAGATATTTCTGGTTACAAAGATATGTGTTCTATGTTTTATAAATAGTCTAATGGATTGGTGTGTATTTGATTAGCAGTTACTTGGAAGCAACATGTTCTGATTTATATTAATTTGTGACACTAAGGATACAAAATAAATAACCATAAATAATCATTTTTTCTCTAAAAACTATTTTTATTTTATTGTTATTAATATCTACTTTATTTATTTAAAAAATTTTAATTGACACATTGTAATTATACATACTTACGGGATACTATTTTGGGGTTTTCTTGAAAAAAAAAAGCTTCTCTGCATCTACCATCATGTTGGCCATAATCTATAAGTAGTAGGATAAAGAAAAACAAACAATATTGTCTGGCTTTGTATTTGCCTTTGAGCTCCTATATTCTACAAAGCAGAACATAGCTGACAAATTGTATGGCTTGTTCCGAACTGGGAAATTGTTCAGTTTTGTTTGCTGTGAAATTGGTTCTTGCTTTGGGAATGCCACACCAGAGTATTAGAATTTCTTTTGCTCCTGGTTTAGTGTCACTACATTGAGTTGAGAGTCCTGCCGGTTAGCTGGCAGATGGGGTAGTGGTCAGGGGAGTCCAGGCCATAATCTCTGGACCAAATGGTGTGGTATTACATGCTTTTATGTAAACCTCACCCTATTCCAGAATTACAAATTCAGGAAATAGCTCATGATAAGTTGTAATAAATTGCAAACTTTAACCAAAATAAAGATGGATTCTTCCCTAAGTGTGTACACAGTCCATTATCCTGTTCTTGGACCTTCTTTACCAAACAAGTAATGTTTATAGGTGAGCTACTTGGACTCAGCCCAGGTGAGAGAACACATGTGTTTTAGGACTCCTGAATATACTGCGAGCTAGCGCTTGTTTATTCCTAAATATTATTTTGCTTATTCCCTGAACACAGCTGTTGATAGCTAATGATAAAAGAGGTTAAATATTTGTCACTTGCTCAAATCAAAAGATACATTTAAGGCTTCACTAGGTGCAAGGCCTTTGACTGTGAGATTACTCAGTCATCTCTTTACTTTCCAAAAGGAGGAATTTTCATCACTTATTTTAAAGGCTTTCTATTTTATATAGACAGGCTCTTCTGTTTATTCTTCACTTTGGTGCTGAAATCAGCTCTTAATAAAAAGGAAGAGATACAAAGTCTCTGTGTTAATAGGCTGAGGAACTGTCTTGAATTACAGTGTGGGGAAGTAGATCACGAGGTTTCGCGCTGCTGACTTTGATGTGCTTACTGTCTGTACCTGGCAGCTGGAGCTCTTCCTGCACTGCCCGAGTTGTCAGTTAATGTCATGTGCGCATGCCTTATTTTCTCAATCAGATTGCAAATCACTGTACAGTAAGCAAGCTTCTTGTTTTATAGTTCTTTGTTTCCTCCACAACATGTCAGGCACATTGTAGGAGTTTTTGTTCATTAAATGCATTACTCCAGATAGCAGATCCTGGTATTTTTTTATAATTGGCTTATTACTGTAAACTGTGAAATCAAGGTATTCTTATGGCAGTTTCAAAGTATCCATAGGCCTCTCTGTTCCCTTTGCCAGTACTGGGAAGAGAAAAGCATCTGATTCAATGCTTCTTCATGCAGTGAACTTAAGATAGTTATCGAGCCTTGTGCTAATGTTGAACGGACAATTTTACCTTTTGTTTGTGCTAGTTTCTACTTTTAAGACTTGGAAGTCTTGATGACCAGGGCTCATTTCGCACTTAGGCTGCAGCTGCCTTTAACTAACTAGCCGGGAGTTTTGAAGCCTGACACTGTGTTTACCTTTCACCTCGGGCAGAGGGGCTGTGAGAGGACATGTAGCTATAGTACCTTTTGTCCTCCCTGAACAATTCTAAGGAAGGACTTGTCACAGGGAAGCACCTGTTAAACACATTTAACACTTTCTGAATTTTCTGT